AAAGCGCTTTGAGTGGAGTGTCCAGAGAAGCGCTATATAAGTGTAAGCAATTATTAATTATTATTATAATTCTGAGTTAATTCCTAGGTGATTTCAAGACTTCAATTTTGGCCCATTTTCCCCCAGTAAACGTGTACATAATTTGAAATTTGTTAACTTAGGAACACTTATTGTAAACTTAAGTTGTGCTTTTTATGATACACTTCATATGACAAGACACTTAGTTCGTTAAATAATTTATTAATTTTTTATATAATTAACATTTCCTTCTGTCGTACATGATATACATTACTGTTTTCTTGTTTTGCATTTACTTACAGGAAAATAAACAGTTTATCCCTTCCATTTAAAAAACATTCCATTTGAATACATTTCACAGTCCTGAGAAAAGAAAAAACTGAAGACAAGTTTTAAAAACAATTTCTTGATCTAAAATACGGGTCATAATTTTAATTATTTTTCAGAGTCATTCCTTCTACTTCAGTGCTGTTACTGACAATATGTGAAATGGGATGTTTGTACATTTACTGAATTTTTAAAAGCTTTATAGGTCTCAATAAAAGTGATTGTGAATCTAAAATGTATGAATCATAATTCTTACTGAGAACAAGCTGCTAATAATGTGGACGTACTATATAAAATAACAAAGAATGTCACAGTATTAACATGACAGGAATGTTTTATCTGTATTTCCATGTAAATATTTGTGATGTGCTGCACACTGTCTGCCTTTAAACTGCAAAACTCTGAAATAATGTTTACATAAATTAATGTAGAAAAATGTACAACACTCACAATATGAAATATTGTCAATGATTTTGAACAGAAATGAAAAAAGTCAAGTTATTAGGTACCTCGGGGTTCTGGTATTGTTATTTATGCACCTATTTCCAATTTAAAACGTTAACATTTTTACATTGGCCAACTTCACAGAAATAATAATAATGGAGTCAGACCACTAGAAGAAGTTTATTCTTCAATGTCTTTACATTTCTCCTCTGACATCAGAGACAAACAGAATCCTTATTTCTTTCCGTGGTGTAATGTGTTCTATAAAGCACCTTTTACACGATATTGTTTATCGCATCTGTGTTCTTAATGCAGGTGGTCTGGAGCTCACTGCAAAGGAAAGAAATCAGTAACCAAATTATTATTTTGATTTAGAAAATCTTTCTATTTTGCATAAAATTTTCAGAATTTATGCAAAAACAAACTAATTTGGTAACAAAATATCTATTCAAGCTGCAGATGAAACATGACATTTGAAGCAACCAGGTGTAGCATTATTTGTTGATGAACTAAAAAAAGTCAAAAA